AATGTTTTTTTTATGTTTGTCCTTCTTCTTCCCCTGTCCATTTTTTGTTTTTGTTTTGTTGATTTAATCAATGTTTTTTTTTTATGTTTGTCCTTAGACTCTATTGATGCTATGTTTGTTTTGATTTGATCTTCGGTTCAGTTCTTTTTTTTTTTGTTTATCATGTTTTGTTTATTATTAATGTTCTTCTGCCAATGGAATTGTGTATATTAATCGGTTCACTTGGATATTAATGTTTGTTGAGAGGCTGGCTGGAATCTTGTATAAGAATTTGAATTCTTCGTTAACTCTTCTTGGAACTGAAATTGAAGTTGCAATGGCAATAAGAAAGTTAACTTAAATCTATCTTCTTTTAGGTCTGATGCTAATATCAAATTGGTTTCTAGACATTATTTTCAAATAATGCGAGCTTGGAACTAATGAACATGATAATTAGTAATTTGATAAGGAATTAAGAGAATCATGACGTGAAAATAATAACAGAAAATTTATTGAGAATATAACTCGTCCTACTATCTATCATTATGGATGAACAAGTGACAAGAGTTAATACAATTTTTTGAACTGAACATGCTTTGTTTATGATTTACTAATGTTACCATTATAATTCCCTTCATATAATATAAATGGAAACTTATTTTGTTAAAACAGGGGCACATACAAATTACAATCTGCTTCCTTTCTTGCAAAAGAAAACTGTAATTCATTCTTTCTCCCCAAGGAAAAGAAAACTGTTCTTTTTCTTATTTTTTCTTTAAGGAAGAAACTTGTTCTAAATGTTTATTGTTAATATGGATGCTTTATGCTCATGTCTGCTTGTGTATTCTTATACTATGTCTTTTTAGTTTTGTAGGAATTTAATGAGATGTCTTCGATTGAGTCTGTTGGTGCTTCACATAAATTAGAGCTTGACTTTTATTTGGATGAGCCAAGACTGGCTAGGAACACGGAGCTTGATAACCTTTCTTTTTAGAAATCAAACCAATTTCGATATCCAATAGCTTCTATGACTTGTGATATACTAGCTATCTCTATTTCAACAGTTGCTTCTAAAACTTCATTGTGTTTAGTGGTAGAGTTCTTGATCCATTTCGTAACTCACTTAAACCGAAGACCGTTCAAACACTTATTTGTACCAGAGATTGGTTATATGGTGACATAGGTGGTTTTAAACTAATTTAATTTATTTATATTTTCCAACTTGATTTTGAACTTGTATGCATATATATTTTTTTCCTGTAGATTTCAATGAAAATGTGGAGGATCTCACACAAGATATCTCAACATTTCATTAAAAGATGAGGAACCTTTCTCCAGGGATCAACTTCTGCTGTGATGATGTGACTCCCCCACTACAACAAATTATTTAACTGTTTAATTATCGATCATGTATGTTTATTTTTTAATTTGTGAGAGAGCTGTGTTTGTTTTAATTTTAAACTTAGATTATTTAACGTCTCTTCAGCATATTAAATAGGTTGATAATCTTTTAAGTACAAAGATATTATCACTCATTTTATAAACAGATTCAAAAATAGGTTAACACAGCCCATTTACACCCATTTTATAAACAAGTTCAGAAATAGGTTAACACGACCCATTTATCACTCATTTTTTAAACAGGTTAGCAGCGGGTTGACACAACACTTTTACGACCTGTTTAATAAACGCCTTAGTCGTGTCGTGCTATGTCAACCCGCCAATATACAGGTGGTGTTTAAATTTTGTATTTCAACACAAATAATAAACGGGTCGTATTCGTGTCAGGCCTAACCGTCTAAGAGGGTCAACACGACGCGAACATAACCCGCCAAACAGGAATTACCACCCCTGCCTAAAGGATTGTAAAAATACCCTCAAAAATTGCAAGTCCCCAAAAAGAAGTTGCAAAAACACGCAGATTTATTTGAAGTACTTAACCAAACATGTTAAAAGCATAACCCGGTGAGTAAGGTGAGTAAGAAGTCTAGAAAGTACTATACAAAATCCAGTTATGAAGAACACAACTCTTACTCCAATAACATAAAAAGCAAAACCTAGAATCAGGAGAAAAAAAACCTTACAGTTATGAACAAATAAGCTTAAGGAAATCAGAAATCTCCAAATGCCCAGAAGCGAGAGAGAGACAAACTCAGAACAAAAAGATTCTTTTAATTCAGACTAAGAGAAGCAAAAATTAACAACTTACAACGTAAATGTTCTTGAAAGCTCCTCTGAGTGAGAAAAATTGTTTGTCTTGTTTGTCTAAAGCAAGAAGACACTTAGATGTCATCAATATAAAAGATACTTGAAGCATGACCACAGCCATATAGTTCGGTTTAAAATAATCATCCATACCACTGATGAGTAAAGTTAATAATCAGCCCTAATTTCCCAAGGGAAAAAAAAAAGCAATCAAGATCATTTTTAACCAAAGACTTAGATTTTTCTTTGTGAATTCGTACCATCAACCAAAAAAACCAAAGTCTTCAAGAAGCAATAGAAGGGACGAACCCAGAACAGGAGAAATCAAAATAAATTCTGAATTAGAAATAAAATAAAAAAACTTACAAGATCTCCGAGTTAAAAGCAAACCTTTACTGTTTACCTAAAGCCAAAAGAAAACTCGCCTGCCCTTTTATTATTCTCCGGAGGAAGGCCACGGGCTTAAGTCATTCGTTAGGATTTTCAAATTCATTCTTAGTTAAATGTACTTAAACATATAGAATTAATTAGATATTAAATGCACAATAGAATAGACAATTCTTTTATAGTACTTTTTGAGCTTTTGCACTCAAATGAAAGTATTTCTTCCCTGATCATTTTATTTAGGCAAGACTACTGTTGATTGATGATCTAATGGTTGTTCGGGATTTTAATCTTAGAGAGGTTTCAACCTCCTTTGGCTCCAATAATGCTATCGGATCCAAACTCGGATAGGAGAGTTTGGCATCCTAAGAATCGACACTCTTCGCGTAGTTGTCATCGTCGCCTCCATTGATGGTGGCTCAATCGGCCTTCTGGGCTCAAAACGCACTAACTTTGCACTCACTCTGGCAGAAGCCAAGCTGCCCAGACATAATTTCAAAAGCAAAATAAAACAAAAAGGTCTTGAAAGGAAAGAGCGAAAATGTATATATTCTTCCTCAATCATCTCCACAGCCTCAAAAGTTGTAGCTTCATCATTCATTAGTAGTATACTAAATAGAAACAAGTTGAGGAATTACCTAGCAGGAGATAATCACTAAAACAAGATGCCTGATGATTTGATTGACGAATGAATGTGATCAAACAAAAACTTCTTGTTATTTAACTTATTTTCTGTATATAAAAATCAAGAACTTTGTCTTGAAAAATTTTGTTTAAAGAGAAAAAAAAAATACACCTAAGCCCATAGATCCAAACTAAACCGTTTCACCATTTTGGTATTGAACTTGAACGCAAATTGTGTAATTAAAGTTGTAACATTATACAGCTGAAGAACCTAAGAACATGAAAGCAAAAATTACATGGGAAATTTGTGTATTATAATTCAGAGTACAAAAGGAATAGTTGAAGTTACCTTATGAACAACAGTTAGAGAAAAGAAAAACCAAGAGGAGTAAACTTAGGTTGGCTCTAACATGAGTACCCAAATAACATTGAATAACATTAGGTCATTAAAGAGATTATGGTCATCATCCGACTGCAAAGTTCCGCTTTTGATTTCTTTATAACTGACTGTAATTTTCACAAGGTATATCATGTACAACTCCACTTAAGATTTGAGAAATATCATTTTTGTACAAAATATTATTGGGACAAAAAGTTCCACTGCCTTCAAGTTATGAGCAGAAATGTATAGGCCATTTCAGATCATTTGAACTGACTGCTAAATAGTAAATAATTTTCATGATAAAATAAGTTGGATAAAAGTTTAACTATTCAAATGACATTTTCATTTGAACCGACTGCTAAATAGTAAAAAAATTGCATGATAAGATAAGTAGGATAAAGATTTAACTACCAAATGACATTTCTTTTAGAGCACACTTATTACAACTATATATACTTTTACACGATATAAGGCACGCTAAATAAAAATTATAATCTCTTTAATTAATCTTCTCTCTAATGATCACTTTTCTACTGATGCAATAGTGATGTGTGATATTCTCACCTATCCAAATAGCCCTGCAGTTCATGGTTGAATATCTAGGAAGTTTTATTTGTCACCTATTAGTCTAGTGTATCAGATCAGATTTGATAAAAGATGAGTTAGTAACAATTTGCAGAACTACTTGAGAAGGATATATTGGCAAGAAACTTTAGCAGAAGAGTTTATGCCCAACTTATCAATTTGTTGGTAAAAAAACAAATCTAGCAGCACGAGAGACCTATATAAAACACCTCAAATCAGATGTTGAATAGTCCAAGCATTATAGTCAAAAATTCAACCATAATACTGTACAACATCCAATGGCCAATAAACCAATACTTAACGAACCATGAATTCAATAAAAGCACCACATGCAATAGTAAGCTTCAAACGTTCCTAGGAAAAAAATAATAATAAAGTAAGCCTCAAATAGAGTGAGTTCATATACATAGTGCTTACCTTACATTGTAACCCGATAATGATTTGATTCAACAGTATCAAAGCTGGGCCTGTGAATGTCAAAACCAAAATTTTCCAATTCAACCAAATATGCAAATTCACTCATCAGAGCAGTTTGCGTCTACAACTTCCAAACATGTATTCTAGATGACTACTCATTCCCTAACCAAACATTTATAATAGTCAAAACTCAACATTTATAATAGAGAAATTAACACCTTACCCTTTTAACCAAACTTTTAAAATTCACTTATTACAATGTTTTTCATCTAAGAATCCAAATCAATTATTCAATTAAACATAATTTCTTAATAGAATATGAACTCAAAAAAAAAAAAAAAAAAAAAGAGCATAATCTGACCTATATCATTGTAGTAGGCTTGTCCAACAATGCTATCTCACAGTTCTCCAAAGAACTCCACTTCTTGCTTAAGATCTTCTCTAAGTGGGGATAGCAGCAACAAATTGGCAAAATAATAACCAAAATAACATAAAAAAGTTAGCATAAACGGATTAGGATCCAAAAGCAAGCAAGCGAAGGTTACCACTATTTGAGATTTGGGCAAATCCAAAGCAACATATTTTTAGCAAAATCAGATTAATCTCTCATTATTCACTCGGACTGTACCAAACAGGCAACAATAATCTATGGCAACAAAACTACCGTAAGAAGCCACACATCAATGCATGAAAGATGATGAATTTTAATACAAAGCTAAAGCTAAAGCCACACATGAAGTCAACGTAACATCCATGCTCAGTTTAAGATTCAACCATAGCTAAAGCACAAATTTTAATACAAAGATGATAAATTTCTCAACCACCCACTCAAAACAACATAAACCGATAAGTTAACCAAACAACCATATACACACAAGAAGCGAACAAGAAAGCTGAAAAAACAAACTTCAATATAAAAAAAATATAAACTCATCATAAATTTTCCGCAGATCCATAATGACACTTGGAGGATTTAGTAACATGTATGAACATATTCTTCATCTAAATCCATAAAGCACCAGATCCATACCAAAGAACAAGACCCATAATCAAATTGGAAAATTATGCTACCACAAGCCGAGTATCAGAAGGACAAGAGGACAAAAATCAGTTTTGTTGCATAATTCTAGATTAGGATTAGAAGTGGATGGCTTACCTTTGGTCAATGTTGGCACACTTGCAATTGAGCAAACCTGGAGACTGCGCAATGAAAGTTCCAGTTGCAAATTAAATTAAACACATAATAAGGAAGATGATGAAGAGGAAAGAGCGGAAATCAAACAAGAAACAAACACACAACGGGAATATTTCGCAAAGCAATGGTGCGATGACCTCGAAGATGAAAAATCCAAGCATGGAGGGATAAACTGAGAACATGAAGGAACCATAAAGTCGGCGAAGCAACCCAAAATGGGTTGAAGAAAAGAGAAACAAAGCAAGGGGAAAACGGGAACAAAACACAGAAGAAAGAAGGGCACAAAATATGGATGAAACGCCAGAAGCGAGCCAAAAATAAATGAATAAATTAAACAAGACCCAAGCATCAGATAGAACTCTTTTTCCTGAAAGAAATAATTCAGCACAACATGTAAAACAAATCAATAGACTCTTTTGGATAATGATTTGAAGACATGAATATAGTTTAAACTTCGGACACTAATTTGCATAATTGACCACCCATATACATTTAACACCACCAATAATTCTTCCTTCTTGTTTTCCTCTTTGTCAGGTTTACTAGTGGCCCACCCAAATTTCTGGAGTAAAAGATAACCAAAATTCTGGTTGTCGAGCGAGATATTAATATTCCAAAATGCTTGCTCAGAAGCGGCACACACTCACCATATAACTCCCTATACCCTTCAAGAAAACTTGGCTGAAAAAGTAAATTTCCTAGAAAGCGCATTAAGTTCAGTAAATGTTGTGAAATAGGACCTCCAACCTGTCTATCTATAACAGACAAAGTCTTTTGCCGTGGCCCAATATTTGATCCTAGTCTAAAATTGGTTTACTTAAGTAGTGCCTTTGGAAGACGGTGGTTATCGTTTATTCAACGACAAATCCATTCAGCAATGCACTCCCAACAACACCACAAGTCACTAAGAAGATCTTCCCTGGTACACATTATACACACAACTTACTAAAAAGGCTTCTGACAACACTCAAGAAAGTCCTTCCAGTTAAAATTTTCCACAAAATAGAAAATATGTATCCCAAACACAATTGAACAGGGGAAAGGCCCTCACCGACAATAACAAGGTATCTTTGAGCAACCAAATCCATTACATGGCCATAGTGAGGCCCAGGTCCTTGTCCTTGCACCACCACTCTATATTAACTTTAAGAAAACGCATAAAAAGCTTAATGATTCAGTTAACCCCAATACCAAATAACAAAAAAGCAGAGCTTGATTTTGATATCAAAAATCTCACCTATGCCACTTAAATTTATCGTTTGTCAAGTCAACCACGCACGTAAAGATCATCAGTAGAATGCCCAGCAGGACCTATGCCACCCCCTAAACATAGACCAAGAACTCACAAATTAAATCTAATATCAAATGACACTAGAACAGAAACACAGAAAATCCTTTTTTTCCCTCTCTAGGAAAACGTCATTGCTTGAAGCACCAGAAAGACAATGCCCACTGCAGTAGCGGTATAGACTCCCTCAGAGATGGCGGCTCACCGGCCGGCCTGATTCTGCACATCCACAACATTGAAAGCAGCATATTGTCAGCAATGTCCTAATCCAATTCCAAAAATACCAAGAACGAACAATAATAAAATCAAAATTCAAAGTTACCTGGTCCATTTCCGAGTGAGAACATCGTATGAATGAACAGAATTCGTCACTCTGGCTAACCCTACAACAAGGCCAAATTTCCCAAATATAGATTTTAATTAAAAAAAAACATAAAATGAGAAACGACAGAAAAAAGTAACAACAATAGATAGATAGAAGAGAGAGTACTGATGCCAGAGGAGGCGCCACCTTCCATGGGGCTAGCACCACCAAATAGGATCAATCGGGGACCGTGAGTCTTGATGACGACAGCGAGAGTGTAGCAGCAGCGAGGACCAGAAGCATCCTCATCGGTGCCCCAGTAGGTCTCCGACGGACGATAGGTCGGCACGGGGCAGGCCGGCACGGGGCAGGCTCGCCTTCAAACCCAACCCAATCGAAACCAAAATGATCAAACGCTTGTCGGATCACGAAATACAATTTCCGATTCAACTAAAATTCCAGCCGAATTACGCGATCCAAATAGATTGATATATAGATGCACCAGTTTTTTCTTTTTCTAGAAAGAAAAAGAAACAGGAAAACTTTATTGAAAAATAAAGGGGAAAGGAAAGAATACAAGGGGGTTTCCTCAAAAAGTAAGCCAAGAAAAAACAAAACCAAACAACAAAAAGTACGAAGCTATAAAAAAGGTATCCGATTCCTAACAAAATCTAAAAAATACACTGACCGAGAAAAAGGGAATAAAGAAAGAGGAGAAACGAAAGAACCAATTCCCAACAAGATGAATTAAAGATATTTTAAGCAATCAAGCATGAGAAAAATAAATGTGTATGGTTTCACATATATCGAGAAGTTATGTTAAAGGAAAAAAGAAAAGCTCCTTCTCTTCCAAGATGGCTCAAGACTCTTCCTACCAAGAAAATTAGAAACTATTTAACGGGAGGAACAATGCATGTCAAACTTTAGAAAATAAATGGAAGAATAAGTATATCCAACTACAATCACAAGCATTTCCAATATGGTGTTTTCGACAGAGTTCTTATTTCTCTTGATACAATATTGATTATCGTTACCACATAGAAAATGAAGTTTACTAATTTAATGGAATAAAATATCAGTCTATAAAAAAACAAAAGGAACAAAGCTCAAATTCCAATCAACATTCATTCGGGCAATAAAAAAGATAATAAACTCAAAGGTAGAGAAAGAGATCACAGTGAACATGATCATCAATACGAGAGCAAGTAACATACTATCAGAATACTTGTTGATGCAATTAGCAGTGCAATAATGGCAATAACTATCTGGGTTTAGCCTGCAAACGGAGCAAAACTCTTAACAATCAAACACTAATCAACCGATCATCATCACGTCATTTCAATATCAATAATAATAAAAAAGATAAAATTGTAGAAAAATTGTCCACTTCACTTACAAGTGACAATATTTGACAATATCCAGCAATTGCTGCATGAATTTTCCAAGTAAAAATAAAATTAATACACCTCACCAAAACATTAAACATTAAACATTAAACGTTAAACGTGATCAGATATTACATGTGTGACATCACCAACACAACGTCCGTGGTGGACCATCAGCGTTTACCTAGACAAAAATGACGTGAATCACGTTGTGGAAGGACAAACATGATTAAGATTAATAATGGGCAACACAAGAATTCGAAAACAAAAAAGAAAAAGTAATAAACTTCCAGAAGGACTCTGTCATCAACTTAAAACATAAAAAATCTAAATAAGTAATTTTTTTACACATTTCAGCAACTTAAATACCATGATTACAACGATGAACCATCATGAAAATTCCAGACATCAAAGAATGGGGAAAAAAAAAAAAAACCTAAAATTACAGTGGCAAATCTGACCTCGTATATAAATGTTGAGCTATTCTTCAAATAACTTCCAATTTCCACAAGCGTTTGTGAGAAAAATTGGTTAGGACAAAATTAGTTTCCCTAAACAGTAGGTTCAGTTTTATGAGTGTTTTTTGGCAGTAAAAAATTGAAGATGAGATATGAAGGAGAAAACGAAGTGGAAAACACTTGAAGTGATATGAAATTAACCCAAACTGAACCAAAGCGGTGGCTCCCGTAGCAAAAAATATAAATAAATAAATTAGTAAATTCAAGCGATGCATTTGTTAATCACAATTTCCAATATAACCTTATAAGATTAAAAAAATAGTCAAGCGGTGAAAATAAATGCAAAGCTAATCCAAACTATCGAGCGGTGATTCACTTAGCAAAAAATAGTGATGCCGTGTAATGTTTTAGTAATTTCCATATATAACCTCATAAGATTACACACTAAAGACACATAAAAGGTTTTAAAAAAGAGGGGCAAAGAGGGCAAAAAAAAAGTTAACAGCACATGTTAAGAGATGTTAAGATATTTATTAATATACTGGTAAGACCAGCACGTGTGTGCTTGCTTTGGTAAGGTGAATTGTGAACTAAATATATTTTAGTGAGAAACTTACGGAGAGAAACAACAGTAAATGAATTTTGAAATAATTAAATAAATGAGGAAAGGAAATGTTGGTTATTTATACCTAATTATCTGTCATCTGTCATAAACAATAAAACGTTGTGAAGATCTTCCTACTCATCTTCATCTCCATAGCTTCAAGAAACAAGGAAAACAACGCTGACACAATAAACTTGCAAACTTAAGAAGCAAACTTCAATTGAACCAAAAACACATACAAAAGGTAACTATCCCATGCAATTCCAAATCAATCAGAATCACCATGCTCTTAATAAAGTTTGAAGTTGAATTTCACAAACAAATTCACAATTAACCACCAGATTTTAAAAAATAATAAGAACAAGAGAAATTCATTGATGAACAGTACAAATAACTGTGGTCTGTGGGATGATGCCAAGAATCACGAAAAAAGTAACATGAAAGAAAAATAAGAAAAAGAGAACGGAAACAGTCTCATACTTTCCTTTTTTCACACTTTCTTTGTTGCTTACCCCAAAAACTCTCTCAGCAACCAAATGGTGTTCAAGATAAAAGACAGCAAAACATTATACCTCAAAATGACAATAACCACCAAAGTTCTTACAACTTCGTTTTTCTTGTTCATACACGCTTTTCTTACATTCGAATATCTCTTACGTTCCTGTTATCACGTCATCTAGAAAATAGTTTTAAAGCCCTTTATTTTGTTATAGAGAAAGTAGTCGTGTTTCCTGCAAAAATACAACTTTTCCTTTAATGACAATGAGACGACGAAAAAATTGATCCCTAAACTATTCAAAACACACTATAATAGGAAAAGTTCACATAATTAGATCAAAAGCATATCAAAAGAAAGAGAATCTCGCATTCAAACAATTTGACATGAAACAAACCGTGAAATTACAAAAAAACAAAATAATAAACACCATCATAGTCATACCATAGCATAACCAAATAACAAAGTGCAAATGCAAGTGGATCTAGAGTTAGAAGCTTGGTCAACTATTTTCTCTTTACCCATGATAAGATTGACCACATTTTGGGTCTCCATTATCTTCGTGAGGTAGTTGATTTACATGAAAAGAAGAGTATTAAATCATCTTAGAGGACATTATGCAATTACTGTAATTAAATCCTCCAATTCCAAGATGTTTCCTAGGAAGACGGAGACTTGGTTATGTAATTACTGTGAGTGAGGGAGGATAATACTAAAAGCATCAACAAATAACAGCAATAGCCTCCAATCAGAAATATATTATCAAAATGAAGGGGGGAAAAGGAAATAAAAAAGTGCAAAAGGATATGAACCAAGTAAAAGGGAACAACAAAAGAAAAAACTCACCCATGCTCGGATAATGAGAAATAGTTGTGACCCAAAATCATTGGATATTGAAGGATTGAGATCATGTCAAAGGAATTTGGCAATATTAGTATGTCATTGTCTAACAAAATGAATAAGAGGAGTCCAACATGTGCATGAATCACAACAATTTGAGTCATGTCAACACAAAATACCGAGCATGACTATATAATTTTAAACAAAGAACAATCATAGTATCCCTATGTAGTAGTATACCATATATAGATATATATATATATATATATATATATGGGGAACAAAACATAACATGCCAAGTATGAATGTAAGGACAACAAACATATATAAATATAAAAATATAATAAAAAACAACAAACAAGCTACCAAAATGACTCCTTAACAATGACATACTCAAAAAAAAAAAATGTTTACACTGCCTCTCTCGTGATCACACATAAAAGGATAAATCTTTATGCAAGAGTTTGTTTTAAAACAAAATAAAAAATTACAAAAAGTCATGGACTCCAATTCAAGTACTTAGTTTGGAGGACAACAAATGACGACAACATCATTTCAGCTCAAAGAACAACAATACCACAAAATCCTAAAGCCAATTCAAGCATAATTGGATTTTTCAAATACTACATCTAACTCTAGTGGATAGCCAGACAGAATAGGATAATTGAGTTGAAGAGTCTTCTTTTCCTAGTTGATGATGATGTATTTTTCTTTTTCTTTTTCTTTTTTCAAATGGCATCCGACCGAAAGAA